TTCTTTTACTCCTTCCAGAGATTTGGCCTCTCGTCTGCCATATAAAATGCAGAATTGTCTAGCTGTACATACACGCACCGGCCACTTTATTAGGTACACTTACTAGTAGCCGGTTGGACCCCCTTTTGCAGTCAGAACAGCCTTAATCCTTCGTGGCATAGATTTAACAAGGTACTGAAAATATTGCTCAGAGATTTTGCTCCATATTGACATGATAGCATCATGCAGTTGCTGCCAATTTTGTCGGCTGCACATCCATGATGTGAATCTCCCGTTCCACCACATCCCAAAGGTGCTTTATTGGATTGAGATCTGGTGACTGTGGAGGCCATTAAAGTACAGTGAACTCATTGTCATGTTCAAGAAAGCAGTCAGATGATTCACGCTTTATGGCATGATGTATTATCCTGCTGTAAGTAGCTATCAAAAGTTGGGTACACTGTGGTCATAAAGGGATGGACATGGTTAGCAACAGTACTTAGGTGGCGTTGACACGATGCTCATTGGTACTAATTAGCCCAAAGTGTGCCAAGGAAATATCCCCCACACCATTACAGCGCCATCACCACCAGCCTGAACTGTTGAGGCAGGATGGATCCATGCTTTCATGTTGTTGATGCCAAATTCTGACCCTACCATCCGAATGATGCAGCAGGAATCAAGAATTATCAGACCAGGCAACTTTTTTCCAATCTTCTACTGTCCAATTTTGGTCGAATTGCGAATTGTAGCCTCAGTTTCCTGTTCTTAGCTGACAGGAGTGGCACCCAGTGTGGTCTTCTGCTGCTGTAGCCCATCCCCCTCAAGGTTTAACTTGTTGTTCATTCAGAGATGCTCTTCTGCATTGTGAGTGTATGTATCGTTAATTCATGTGAATGATGATATTTACAGCTCTTCGTGAAGGACACATTGTTACATGGTTCTGTGGAATTATTAATTCTGATTGGTCAATGGGTGACGCGGTTGCCACACAGAAATGTCAGTTGGCTGGATAAGTTGGCGGTTCAATCTGCTGTGGCGACCCCGGATTAATAAAGGGACTAAACTGAAAAGAAAATTAATGATGAATGAATGATTGGTAAATGATGGAATTTTATGAATTTTTTAAAAAGTTTTAGTTAGAGTATAAAAAGCTGAATCAAGTAGTGATTTGAACATATCTTGACTATAATTTGTGGTGAATATGCATATATGTTGCACCTACAGAAAAAAGTTCTTAGTTTCAATTCTCAGTTTTTCTGGATTTATTAGGCATGGCCCATGGGTTTGAGGAAAATCTCAACTTTTGTTTTATTCTATGAAGATCTGAGAACATTTCATCCAAAATTCATTTAAAATATTGTCATTTAATATTATAAATATTTAATATAAGATTTGCTGCCTTGTGCCAACGCATGTCTTTCACCAGTGCTGATATACAGCCACATCGCATTGCTAATCACGTGATATTTCTCATGTATAACATTAGTAACTGATAAGTTGAAAAACATAAAGCATTTAGTAAATATCATTAAGTTAATTATTATTAGTTTTTATTATGTTATCTATTTATTAATTGGCAACTGTTTATAATTTGTTTGTATACTGTTATTATTCTTAAGTTGTTTTCTTTTTTCAAAATTTAGTGAGATATATATGTTTGTACTAATTTTGTACATATTTCGTGATAACAAATAAAAAAGACTGATTGACAATATTTTGTCCCTCAAATAGTGTTTTTTTAATGCAAAAGTGTGAGGATTTGTGTGTGAAGAGATCTGTTTTTTACTTCCTGTGTGTTTTGAAAAGAGCGGGTTAGTTTGGTTTGACTCTAATTACAGTGTATAGAGGGAGAGTGGTTGGCAGAGGCACTGAGAGGGCACACAGTGTGCCTGGTTTCCTCATGCTGTTGCAGGATCAGGGCCAGCAGCCACCATGTTTGCACTGAGTGGCCGCTGTACCGCAGTGTTCCCATCAGCCTCTCTGGAGACAGCTAAAGAAGCAGATGCTTTAAGTGGCACCTTGCTCTTATAGCACCCAGAGGACTCTTTCAGAAAAGACTCGGTTTGTGTACTTTGTGAACACAGTTGTTGAACTTTCTATTTTTGCTGGCACATGTCTTTTTTGTTTTTGCATTTTTAAGATCTCAGTTGGTGTGCAGTAACCCATACGATAAAATATCATAGCTAATAGTTTTCCATTCAGGAAAACAGAATTGATAGATTTTAGAAAATGATAGAGAATAGCTCAGAGTGAGGTACTTTGGAGTATATTTTACACTAGTGCTGCCATCTTTTGGATTCTTCATGTACTTGCACAAATACACTTCATTGATCATGTACACACAGACATCACCTGACCTACTTCATTGCGAAGGTGTGCTCGTTTTTTTGCGATTGTTTTAGAATTTCAGATGCTATTGCCTATGGGAGAAATGACTAGGAATAAAAACCAGCTGAAAACGGTCAAACTATATAATATAATTGAATAAAAAAATATATGAAGAATAATATAAGAAGAAAATACCAGTTTACAACATCAAGTAGCAAAACGAGGTGAATACGAATGGAAGTGAATGAGAACGGAAGTCTCAAGCCAAAATGATTCAAATGGCTGCGCCTGCTCATTCATGGAGAATAAGGTGAATAGCACAGCTGTCAAACTCAGTTCCTGGAGCACTGCAACTCTGCACAGTTTAGTTCCAACCTTAATTAAACACACCTTATCAAACTAATTAAGTCATTCAGGCTTGTTTGAAACCTACAGGTTATGCTGCGCCGCGGTCCCACTAGAGTTTTTTCATGCGAAATTCTGTTGTACGGCGCTGCAAAAAGGGGTGGGATTAAACAAGGTGATTACTGATTAGACATTTTAAAAAGCGAGCGATTGATCCATATTTTAAATTTCTGTCCAGAGAGGTCATGTTTTGATCCTCGATTGTTCTCAATCAATCATGTGATGCGATTTCGCAAGTCAGAGTTCACCAAATTTGAACTTTCCAATGCATCGAACTACGAAACTCTCCAGTCGACCTTGCGTTTTCTGTCTGATGCATTCGCGTGCGTATGAATGAAAGTCTATTGGAAGAAAAGTGCAGTGTGATCGCAGCTTCAGTGTAACAGCTTCAGCAGGGTTGGAACTAAACTGTGCAGGGCTGCAGCCTTCCAGGAACTAAGTTTGACACCCCTGACCTATAGACTATAAAACTGCAGGTTAAATGTTTATATTTAATAACTTTTAAAACTGTTGAAAGCTACTAGTTACTAGATAATTAGTTAAGCCTTAACTTTTCCAACTTTATTTGTAATGTTATAAATGTGGACCTTTTGTAAAGCTGCTTTGAAACTATCATTGTTCTGAAAAGTGCTATACAAAAAACTTTAATTTAATTTATTAGAAAAGTATGTAACAAGACTTGGTGGTTTCAGCCAATTTAAATCTATTCAAACAGAAACCAGGTATTTACAATTTTCACAATTTTACACATTTTAATCTTTGAGAGATTTCTTTTACACACATTTATGAAATTGTACTGACCCCAAACTTTGGAAAAGTAGGGTATAATTTAGAAATTTATTAAGCATAATGCTACAAAAATAACATGTTTACTCAATTATTAAAATTATTGAAATTATTTTTGAGAGGAAAGTTTACCCAAAAATGAAAAGGCTAGCTATCAATTTACTTGATCACCCTCAGTCCATCCAAGGTGTAATTTACTTTTGCTTTTTCCCAAAGGAGCAATTTAAAAAAGATTCATCTGAAACCGAAAAATCATTTTGTGGTTTTTATTTTTACATTTATCCCCATTTATTTTTTGGTTTTGAATTATTTTGCATTATATGAGACATTGATGTTTCTTTCATTAACTTTTAACCTTGGAAAAAAGTTCCAAAAAGTGACTCTGATTAACATTTTTAAGAGTTTATATTGGTATATTGTCTATGTTAGTGTTGTATAAAACGGTACAAAAACTTGCCGTTACTTTTTTCTGTTATTTTACAGACCTGTCTCTCTCTCTCTGAGTTACTTCTTAAACTGTATATTATTTCAAATGACTAAAATCAAAAGTCACTTTGATAAACTGTAGTTGAATTTTCAACAATAAAAAAATCGACAGAGCAGAGATAAAATAATACAATTCACAAACATAAATAAACAGAAAACACGTGTGAATAACAAAATGCATTAATAATCTGTTATTTAACATTTATTTTTTTACAGTGTTGTCAGTGCTGATTTATGGTTGCAAGTCAAAATGCTACTGGCTTTTTGAAAGTGAAAAATCATAAAGTACCGGGAAAAACAAAATATATACCTGTGATCATTGATGATACATTAATAAGATCATACAAATTTAAATGGTCACTGTGTTTAAGTAGATGCCTTCACATACTGATAGTTTAACTTTATAAGACTTTAATGCAGTGGTGTCAAACCAGGGCCTGGAGAGCCGCAGCCATTGCACAGTTTAGTTTCAACCCTGCTTCAACACACTTACCTGTAGGTTTCAAACAAACTTGAAGGACTCAATTAGTTTGATCAGGTGTGTTTAATTAGGGTTAGAACTGAACTGTGCAGAGCTGCGGCGCTCCAGTAACTGAGTGTGTGACACCTGTGCTGTAATGTAACGTCATGGGCATAGGTATTCATTTTATTTAGCCTGTATATGTTTTTTTTTTTTTTTTTAATTCATGAAGTAATGATTGGCTTGCATTTTTATGGAAATATAGAAAACAAGCCACTGACCTCTTGTATGGCCTGAGGGTGAGTAAAATAAGTTTTAATTTTTAGCTAAATTATTCCTTTAATAATTTGCTCTGTTTCCCAGTACTGGGTTGCAGCTGGAAGGGCATAAAACGTGCTTGATAAGTTGGCGGTTCATTCTGCTGTGCTAACCCCTAATGAATAAATGGACTAAGTTGGTGGAAAATGAATGAATGATTTGCTCTGTTGCTGCCATCTTATGGATGCTCCATGTACATGCGTGCACACACACACAAATAATTAAACAAGAAGGGTTTTGATAAGGCACATCTCTCTTTATATAATCTCCTCAAGCACTTCAATCTCAAATGTTTGATATATCATATCAGATTCCAAGTTAATGCATAAATGACAGAGTAAACAAATACACGTAATATAAAAAGATCAGAGTTCTAGAAAGTTCCAGTACCTGGATGCTAAAATCCAAGTTCTTAGCAATGAATGGCTGTCAGCCAATCTTTAATCATCCGGTGTCTCTGAGAGTCACATTCACCTTTAATGTATCGATTTGACACTTTTTACTTGATTTCCCTTCTATTTTTTCCTGTTAATGTAAACAGACTTTATTTTTTATTACATTTTCATATCTGTAAATGCCATTTAAGTTGGAATAGTAAAAGGAATTCAATAAAAATTTCAATCTGAGCTTTGCAATTCTTTGCTATTCCCTTTCATATTTATGCATCTGAAGGGACTTACATTGCATTGAAGGTACACATTTATCACGCCTTACAGTCCTAGGGTATCGAACCCACAACCTTGCTGTTGCAAGCGACATCCTCTATCACTTGAGCTACAGGAAATCATTAGCATTTAATGGTGCTAATTAAGTCCAAGTGACAAAGAAATGTACTTTTTGCTTCCAGAGTGTCCCAAACTCCAAACCTGAGGTTCTTCAAAATGCCCCTATCTCTGTGCCCCAGGCCTGTGCAGATTTACTGGAGGAACTCAAAGCCCTGCGACCTCCAGCTGGAGACCCAGCAGGCACGAAGGGTCTGAAGGAAATCTGTGGAGGTGAAGAGTTGGAGGAAGACGAGGAAGATGATGGGACTGTGCGCCCCTCAGGGGAATGCTGTTGAAGTCTGTGAAGATGTCCCGGAACGGACGGCAATTGACGCACGGAGGTCAGCGCTGGGTTCAGTATTGTCCCCTGGGTGCTCAATGATCCCATTCGGAGGGCTGGCGAAGGGTAGCCCAGAATGGTGGCCGTCCCATGTGGAGCCAGATCCCGGCGGGCGTTCGGGGGAAATGGAGTGGACGAGGCTGGAGGCGATGCAGCTTGCAGCTGAGGAAAGGATGCCCAAGGCCAGGGAGGGAATGGCAGAGCAGCGGGACTCTGGAGGAGAGGATCCAGCTCACTGGCGCAGTGGCTAAGGTGGGACACGAGGCGCGCACCGATGGGGTCTGATGATTCAACGCCCTCCAAAGAGCTGAGGTATCGCACCACTTCTCCAACACACTCCCGGAAGCCTAAAGTCCTGTAGTCCACTGCCAGAGCACGGGCATCAAAGTAGCCTGAGAGAAACAGAAAGAGATGTTTAAAATTGACTTTATTTTATTAAATTTTTAAAATATTAGTTCTCCATCTTTAAAGCACAACATATCTTTCTAAATACACACATTCTCAGATTATTCACTATTGTTGGCATTCTTATAAAAACTAAATCAGAATAGATTCTCACTTTAATTAAACTCTTTAAAACTTCTTGACAAACGTCACCCTCTATTTTATTTTTTTTATTTTTTTGTCTAATGTAAATTGCCATTTTGGCTTTTTCTACAACAAAATTGATGATTTGCTCTTTTTTCTCTTATTTTTTTGCTAATTTGAAACCAAAATGAAACTAACCTTAGAAAAAAACTACCTTAAAATCCACAAACATAAAACTAAGCATCAGAAACAACATGTTGTCATGTTGTTCCAATACAAATTGATAAGATTAACTTAATAGTAAAAATAGTAATAATAAATTTAAGTGGATTGAACATAAAACCATTAAGTTTAAATGTGTTGATTCAGCAAATTTTAAATAAGTAGTTTAAACAAGCAGCAAAAATTATATTTTAATGTACTTGAATTTTCTGCTTAAATATTACAATACAAAAAGGCAGGTGTTTCCAAAGGAGGACACAGTGATCATTTTGCAAAACCTCCTTCTTAAAATATAAAAATAAAATGTAATGACTTTTTAAAACTACCTTTTAAATCTTTGAGGTCCAAACAACTTCTTTGAGGAATCAATATATTTTTGGGTGAGAAAAACTTTAATAATGTTACAAAAGATTTTTTATTTTAATTGAATGCTGAAGCAAATGTAATGTTTTTTTACATTGATAATTATGAAATTAATTTTTTGACGAGTAAATTGGAATCTTTTAGCGAATTCTTAAGGATCATGTGACAGTGAAGACTGGAATAAAGATGCTGAAAATAATTTGCCCCCAGTTTCTGTCATTCTTCTTCAGTGTGGGTGGTTACCACTGTTATGCATTTTCTAAGCATTTAGCATATTGCTAGTAGCTATGGCGTTCTGGGGCTGGTTGGGAAAAAACGGTATTATATTGAGACTTGTTAAATGCAAGTCAATTTTTTGTTTTAGTAGAACATTAAAGAAGATTTAAGCTGAAACTGTGTTTTTTGGAGATTAATTTGCTTTAAAAAAGTAACTGGCAACACCAAGTATTTATGAAGATAAATAATTAGTGCAAGAAATCGAACATTGTTAACCTTTACATAAGTATAACCTTTAATCCACTTGTTAACTGATGATGATTGATTACAACTGAGGGATGATGTGTGTTTTGTATTGATCTCTAAAATTATAATAAATCCAAATTGACTTTTTACTAAATTATACTTGTGCTTATCCTGGCAGCTGATTCGAATGTTATCACTTGGTTAAATAGCCGTTATAAATGGTTATCAGCTTATAGATATGGGTCAATAGGGGCCTTCTGCGCCTACTAGTAGGTTCAGAAGGCTGTTATCATGCATCCACATGGTTAATCCGCTATCACATACTGCTGCGTCCAGAAGTGAACAACAATCATTTATATTATTTATTAAATTTCCTATTAATTGTATTTTATTAATATCTACCCTAAACCTAACCATCACAGTAATGTAAAAGCAGATCTGGATCTGGAATTTTCTCTATTAGTATGGCTGATTAACCATGCGGATGGATGATAACAGCCTTCTAGTTGGTTAATCTTAAAAACGAAAAAGGTTTTTTCACTCTTAAAGTTTTCATTTCCAGAAATTAAATTTTTGGCAGCACAGTGGCTCAGTGGTTAGCACTGTCATCTTACAGCAAGAAATTCCCTAGTTTGAGTACCAGCTGGACCAGTTGGCATTTCTGTATGGAGTTTGCATGTTCTCCCAGTGTTGGTGTGGGTTTCCTCCTCCTAAATTGGCCATAGTGTATGATTGTGTGTGTGTGAATGTGAGTGTGTATGGGTGTTTCCCAGTACTGGGTTGCAGCTGGAAGGATGCTGGAGTAGTCGATGGCTAATTCCGCTGTGGTGACCCCTGATGAATAAGGGACTAAGCCGAAGGAAAATGAATAAATGAATTTTCATTTTCGAATGAACTATCCTCTTAACTTGTGTTTGGGGATTTGTTCAAATCCTAATGAAGAGTATGAAGCTAGAAGCTATAACAGTATAACACCCTAATGAAAGTTCCCGGATCAGTGTCTCCTCTCACCTTTGCCACCCATGGCATGCAGCAGTTTGAGATGATCCACTGTCATCTGCAGGATCTCAGCCTTCTCTAGTTTAGAGGAACCCTGTCCAAGAGCAGAGAGAGAGCATCGGTTTGACTTTTTCTTTACTTGTAAACATTGTACACTGAACTCTTTGACATCTCATCTGTTTTCAAAAATGTAGCCTGCGGTGTCCCGCCTGATCGTCTTACCTGCTTCTCGAAGGCACTGGGTACGAGTCTCCTGAGCTCTGACAGGCTGTGGTTGATCCTGTCCCTGCGCCTCTTCTCAATTATCTGTGGAATCCAGCGGAGTCAATTTAAAGACAGAACAACGATTTGAAGTGGAAAGCATTTGCTAACCGGATTATTTCTTGCGGCCGAGGCCTAGTCGCAGCATTCTCAAGATCAGATTTTGGAAACAAAATAACAAGTCAACTATAGGAAAACACAAATCAAAGTCAGACAAGAGGGCTTAAACTGTAAAAAGTGCACGCTGCTGGAGAGGGTCGTGTTGCAGGGGAGTTTTGAAAGACCTTGAGATCATATATGAGTGATATGTATTCGGTCTGTTCCTGAACAAGCCAAGGGAAAAACAGAGCTAGATTGACGTAAACTCACCCCTCTTCTCTTCTTGCGCGCCAGGATCTGTGAGGTACTGCCTGGAGACATGGACCCAGTGACAGGGCTGAGCGAGAGAAAGAGCGAGCGGGGAAGGGGACAGATTAAAGCTTTGATGTCAATGCATATTGTTGTCATTACTGTACTTAATACAAGGCAGAAACGCTGTTGCACATCATCAAACCCAATCTAATTTGTCTTGGGGAACAGCTAGACACGGGAGCGCCGGGGTAAACAGAAAACAAGATTATTTTGGTTTAACGCGTTTTTGGACATTATTGTCAGATGGCTGATATGTTATGATTTTTGCATCGTACGAGAGGCATTTTCGTTTTGAGCTCAAAAGACATGATGATTACTTGTCCGCAGGGCAAGCTGCAATGGTGGCTTTTGCGTGCACATCAATACTCCGTATTATCCTTCAATGTGGATCTGGTTTGCATGGGCACTTTCTGTGCTCTGCCAGCGGAATGACACTGTTTGTTTTGCTTTACTTTGACTTCCAAGCATAACTATTATTTTTATATCATATTGTTATTCCTTTTAACATTAAGAGGCTTAATTCACAAACATTCCGTTTGTTTGGTGGAAAAGAAGATGGTCCAAAAAGAAAATTAGTTGCAGGAATATACTTTTTTTTTGTTTTTTGCAGTCCTTTTAAGAGTTTTTAAAGGCAATGGTATGAGAAAGGACTGGTTGCAGGATGCAGTTCAGCAGTTGCTGGAGACTTCAGTCTAATGACTAAATGACTGAGTGAAAAATGCAAAACAGACAAGGAAAAGGCAGGCTGGCACAGCAGAGGACAGATATGCCTTTCAAGAAAGAGTCAAATAAGATCATTACAGGCCGTCCTGCTTCACAGTGGCCCAATTTGTGATTTTTGACAACGTTTATCTGCTGTCGTGTCGCGGTAGTCAACAAACAGGAATAGTGTATGACAGTGGAATGTGTTAAAACAATGCATTTAATCTCCCGAGAACACAACAACAGGACTTTTATAAGCATTATTGGTTGTAATATAAAGAATTTTAGTTTAGTTTTGCAAAAGTTTTAGGTGTTTCTTCACCAAAACATAATAAAAAGTACATTTGTGTGATATACAGTTGAGGGCAGAATTATTAGCCACCCTGAATTATAAGCCCTGTTTATTTTTTCACCAATTTCTGTTTAACGGAGAGCAGATTTTTTTCAACACATTTCTAAACATAATAGTTTTAATAACCCATTTCTAATAAGTAATTTATTTTATCTTTGCCATGATGACAGTAAATAATATTTTACTAGATATTTTTTAAGACACATCTATACAGCTTATAGTGACATTTAAAGGCTTAACTAGGTTAATTAGGTTAACTAGGCAGGTTAGGGTAATTAAGCAAGTCATTGTATAACCATGGTTTGTTCTGTAGACTATCACAAAATATATAGCTTAAAGGGGCTAATAATTTTGACCTTGAATTGTTTTTTAAAAAAATTAAAAAACTGTTTTTATTGTAGCTGAAATAAAACAAATAAGACGCTCTCCAGAAGAAACAATATTATTAGACATACTGTGAAAATTTCCTTGCTCTGTGAAATATCATTTGGGAAATATTTGAAAAAATAAAAAAATTCAAAGCGGGGCTAATAATTCTGACTTCAACTGTTATAGTTTAATGACACGCACAAGCACTGAAAATTGCATAATTTACTGTAGCAAGTAGATATAACAAGTGTACTGTAAAAAGAGATGTTACACCTTTTTTGAATTGAGCTTTGTTACAGTGTAATTACACTTATAAGCACTGTATATTAATTAACATCCTTACTATATCATTAGGTTTACAGTTTAGGGTAGGCATGTTGCATATAATTATGCATAATTTCTTGTAGTAAGTACATGTAACGTAACACGGGCACTATAAAATAAAGATTACCCTTTATTTAGTAACACTTTAAGTGACATTTTTACATGTTTTGTGAACTACTTAATATGGAAGTTACAATTAGTTATGCATAATTACAATGCCTGCATTCTAACCATATTGTAAGTAGATGTAATTAATTAACATTACCCAGTAGTTCAATGTACAGTTACATTGTAACAAGAACACCTTAAAATAAAATGTGACCCTTTATTTTAGCTAACACATGCATAAGCACCAAATAATAACAACATAAACCTGCTATACATTTTAGTTTAGTATGATTGCTTGCACTAGATGCATATAATGGGTGAAATACCATTTTCAAAATTGGCAAATTCTGGCAAATGCAAAAACGTACTCAATTTATAGCATATTTGTAGCTTGATTTGTAAATGTAAAACGTAATAAACAGCACAGTACATTACCTGTGATGAGGCCTATGGTTGCTTCTCTAGAAACACCTTGCATTTTGACAACCAGAGCTGCTTTTTTTACACTTTTTAGTACTTTTTTTTTATTCTAATACATCTTAAATTGAGATCTGTTGAGTCTCTAGGCTACAGTGTGAGCTCTACACATACAGCGATTGACAGCTATGTCAAATAGTCCTCACCAGTAGCTGTCCTCCTGTCCGACATCGATGAGTTCATCCGTGTCTGAGTCTGGAGAACTGTAGTCATGAGGTCTCTTCATCTCCACAGGTTCCTCAGTCCTCCTGTTCAATCGATGGAGCGATTTAGCCTTTCAATGTTTATAGAGATGATCTCAGATGATGGATTTCTCCTCTATCCTTCAAATGCAACAGTAAGGAAAGCAGCCACCTTCTAAAGCAAGCACGCCCCTCCCTATTTCCTTTTCTCTCTCCACCTTCTTCTCCCTCTATCCTTGAACCACAATACAAGCACGCTGTATTGGGAGTCTCTGTTAGACCTTGTTGCAGACTTAGCCTGCTCCTTGTTTCTGCTCTTATGTGTACTTGTGTTTTGACATCCCCAGACCTCCAGGATTCAAAGTCGGAGAATGACAGTCCTCCTTCTCTCACTGTTTCAACTTTCTGTCTCTCCGTCACTCTCGATCTTTTGCTCTCTGCTGCGGCAGCACAAGTGACTGAACTTGGGCACTTTGGCAAAGTTGCCAGTTTTGGCTCCCTCTTCCTTGCCCTCCCATGCTCCCTCCCAGCCCCTCATCACCCCTCCCTTCTTCCTCTCTCTCTCTCTCTGTCATTTCTCTCCTTTCAATTAGCCTCTTTTCTCCACCGTCTCATCTCGCTCTATCTTTACCCCCCTCGGTCCCTCCCCTTCTTCCTTCTGTCTCTGTTTCCCTCTGTCTCCTCTTTTCCACTCTTTTTAATTAGTTTCCCTCCCTCTCTCCCAGGACAATAGGAAGAACGCTGTGGGAATAAAGTCTTGGGTTTGGACCCACATGCACACTTACATTGGCCCCAAAAAGTATACTAATAGACTTAAGACAGACATATAAAACTATATAAATAAAGTTCCATTTTTGCTTTAACTTTTACAGAACTTGTATGACAGAGTATTTATTAGGCTACTCATACTTTGAGAGTTAAAAATTAACAAATAAAAATACAGTCACTTCAGAAGCAATACCCATGAGTATGCCCAAATCTGGTTTCTGCAGTTTATTTAGCCAATCATTCTATCTATCTATCTATCTATCTATCTATCTATCTATCTATCTATCTATCTATCTATCTATCTATCTATCTATCTATCTATCTATCTATCTATCTATCTATCTGTCTGTCTGTCTGTCTGTCTGTCTGTCTGTCTGTCTGTCTGTCTGTCTGTCTGTCTGTCTGTCTGTCTGTCTGTCTGTCTGTCTGTCTGTCTGTCTGTCTGTCTGTCTATCTATCTATCTATCTATCTGCACTGTTGGGAGGCGTGTGTTGGCTCAACCGTGCAGGCCAAGTGCCTTAGTGCCTCCACCAGTGATGACATGCAGCCATATCGCACTGCTATGAGTGTGATATTGCATTTATATAACAATTTGACGGCATAATCGTATGTATAAAAAAGAAAATCAAACACGGAGAATCTCAAAAACCCTTTTTCACAAGGAACTACTTTATTCCACCACTCATTCATATCTGCAGCTGACCATCAGAACAGCTGAAACCGTTGCTAATTCACTAACGTCACTTTAGTGCTAGTATTTGAATAATTCTCTAGCGTAATATCTAAAGTGATGACAAAACACTTGCAAAAAATTGTTGCTCACATTTTTAAGATTGTAAAGCTGAGCGACATGAAATGCCATCAGTCTACAGAGATTTCTCAGTGTTTCTCTGTTGCAATCAGGATATCACAATGATTAACCCTGAAAAAGCCAAAGCAAACACCACCAGTCTCTGTGGTATAAATACAGTTATACAAAATACAAAAGAGAAAGATTGATTTAGAATGTCAGCTGTATATAATAATTTTATAATTTATATTTAATAATTATAAGTATAATTTGCTCAGCTGTTGTCAGAAATTTGTGTTAAGAAAACGCTGAGTTTGTCCTCCCTCTAAGGACGTTTTATGTGGTCTCTGTCGCCATATTATGGAATGTCAATCAACACTTTCTTTGGACAGGCTGATGGCGGGCGATGCACTGAATCTCTGAAATTATTAACAGTTTAAAATAACCACTATCCTTATACGTAAATAGACTGCATAGTTGCAATCTAAACAACTACATTCTTGACAAAAAAATCATCAAAAGTACATTATGTTGTCCAACAGCAGCAATATTTGTAGTGTCCTATGCTTGTCGCTGCATGTGGGCGGAGTAATACGCAAGGGGGAAAGGTGAAGAGGCTGTACTAGTGCTCTTATTTGCAGAACTATATCATACGGCCATAATATATATATATATATATATATATATATATATATATATATATATATATATATATATATATATATATATATATATATTTATACAACAGTTCTGTCTGTTTCTCGAATCTGATTGGCTGATAGCTGTGATATAATTAAGTAATATCAGCACCCGTACAGCCTCTTTACCCTTTGTGTATTACTCTGCCCACATACAGCCAGCATAAAGCAGACACTACAGATCTAAAGTTTAAAAGATGCTTGCTCAGCTGTTTAACTGTCAGCTTATGATTTGAATCCAACGCGGAAAAAAGTAGTTCCTCATACAAAAGGATTTTTGAGACTCTCCATGTTTGATTTTGTTTTTATATACACAATTATGCCGTCAAACTGTTGTATAAATTCATTATCACACTCGTAGCTGTGCGATATGGCTGCACTAAGGCACTTCTCCCACCAGTGCCGATATACAGCCATATTGCACGTGCTACTCGTGTGATATTGCTTAAATATACATTCAGTTTTTATATAAATTTCTAATTTCAATAATATTATTGAATAGTGTGCAAATGTGTATATGATTTATACACAATACAGTTTGCAAATAATTTTTCCTCTCTTTTAGTAAATATATTATGAGAGATTTTAATTGCTGGTTCCAATTAGATTTTAAAATTAGATTTTATTTTATGTTTTTAGTCTTTTAGTTTCTACTCTCAAAATTGTTCCACATAAATCTGCAAATGTTTTTTTATTTTTTTTTACAGAAAAAGGTCAGCGATTCTAATCACAGATATACTAACAAACAAAACTATAGCCCCTTTCACACATACAGACCTTTCCGGAAAATTACCGGCAATTTTCCGGAAAGGATGTATGTGTGAACAGGTCCTTTTTGAAAATACCGGTAAATTCGTTCTGGCTATTTTCCGGAAAGAGAAGTTGTAACATTACCGGCAATTTGCCGGAATGCTGCGCTGTGTGAACGCAGAAGGAATCTTTCCGGAATAAGCGCGTGCACGTCTAGAACGTGCTGACGTAAGACTTCTGCTTTAGCCAATCACAACAGTCAGACGCATTTACGTCCGCGCGGTTTGTGGGAATAAAAGCCTTTGAATATTTTTCCAGACGCATTTAGCTGCTAGAAGTTAGTCAGATAACGTTTATATGTTCTCCTTAATGCCAACTGTGCAAATAATCATCGATAAGATGCTTATGATAAGCCGTTGTTTGTTTACCTTCAAGCTTTGTGTGTGCCCATGAAACAGCCTGTGAGCGCCAGCACACGCACATATTATGAACATCTCGACATGCGAATATGATCCTGTGAAAGTTGTTTACAATATTGATCATCAAAAGAGTTTGTAATTTAGTCAAATGTTTACAAATACAAGCGCAGCCGTTTAAAGCTCATTTGTGGTGAATGATGTCAGAATTTACCGGTATTTTGGAATGGATGTGTGAATGCTCTTTTCCGGAAAATTTCCGTAACGTCCTCGCCTGTGTGAACAGCGCTTTTTTGAATATACCGGTAAAGTCGTTCCGTAAATTTTCCGGATATTTACCGGTATCACTGTGTGAAAGGGGCGACTGTACCAGGCAGCCTCAGAAAAGCCTGATCAACAAATAACTTTTATTTATAATAACAAATAATAAGTTGATTGAGAATCACTTTGATTTCAAATTGACTTCCTCTAGGTTTTTGGCAAAGTAGCTCATTTAGATCACCTAGTTAAAGGATTTTTATTTCTTTTGTTCCAATCATCTCGTAAGCAAGTGTTGACACATTATTGTCACCATTTATGATGTACTGATGTTCATTTCATAGGTTTACAAAAAGACAGTTTTCATTTTGTTCCATGCAGCTTTTGTCTTATGTAACACAATGTCCCAGGGCTAATGTCAGACCATCATGTTTTCCTTCAAATTTGGTCCTTATACAATCTAATTTAATTCAATAACCAAATAGGAGAAGGAAAAGAAGAAGAAATTTTGGCCCTTGTGCTTGTAGAAACAAAAGTGGGCATGAAAAATCAAGATTGATACTTTGTTGTTGTTACCTTTAATCCAAAGCTTCTGCAAATGTCCTGATTCTGAATTTGTTCATACATTTACCAAAATCAGTATTTTAATTTCCAAATGTTTATACATTTACCAAAATCAATATGTTACATTCCAAATGTTCAAACATTTGCCAAAATCTGAATAAAAAATGCATTTTGATCATCCAGATACCTTCAAATATCATTGTATTCAGAATTTGTTTGATTGAACACACCATTTGTTCAACCAATGGGGTGATTTTGAGGTGGTTTTATGTTTTTCCAATTTAATAAAAAAAGAAAAAACAAAACAATAAAAAATAATAATAAATGAACACATGATACTTAAGCCATTACTGTTAAATGTCAGATATCAGACAATTTCTTTTCCTAATACACACTTGGATGAGGTTTTATCATTCAAAACCAAGAAAAAATGACAGTTACAGACAGGGTTAGATATGTAAGACGGGTTACATAAAAAGCATTTTTTTTAATACAACAGAAAAGGTTGATAAACTGTATAGAAATGTTCTGTTTTGCCATTAATTGTATATCTATTTTTTTCTATTTGAGTAAACTGCAACAGGTCATACATCCAATGCTGGCCAAAGATGTGTTTTTCCAGTTCAGTAGTATAATTATTTGAGCAATAATTAAGCAAAAGGCTAATACACTTGACTGCAAAGATGCAAGCGATAGGATTAAGTCCAAACAGTGCCACTAAAGGACATGGTTCAATTTTTAGAAGAAAAATATCAGAGTTTGATTTAAACATTGATGTCCAAAAAGAAATTAACTCTGGACAAAACCAAATAGTATGATAAAGGGTACCTGGAGCTTGTCGGCA